ATCCTCAGCTCTTTCCGCCTGGCGACTTCTTTCCCTCTCTCCTTCCCTGGTGCCACACTCCATCGTGATCCGAAGCTTCTCTGTCTGCTCCTGCTCCACATGCCCTTTATCTGCTTTGAGCAGTATCCTAATAAATCCCCCAGGTACACATAACAATGTTTTGGATTAATGACAGGCACAGATACAAAGGGGGTCCCTATGTAGAGCCTGGAGGTGTCTGGTGGGTGGTCACATGTTGGGGTGTGTAAATACACCCTGTGACGTTCGCACGATGACGAAATCATCTAACTTCCCACCTCTCAGACATATCCCTGTTGTTAAGCAGAGCAGAGCTAAGGTGGGTTAGTGCCTGCCTCAAAGCTTCTATCCCCGACCCACTGAGCGGTGTGAGGTGGCTGCTGGGCTGGAATGGGAGCTGTCAGTGGGCCAGGTAAATGATCAAGTGCGGAGATGTCAGTGCCCCCACTCCACGGGGACTGGTTTTTACTGCAGTTCATCTTTGAGAAAAATGACTTTCATCTCTGCTGCGGCCTGGAGTCTTTTTCATCTTATTCCGGTAAAGCACCTGATCTTTTTTTAATAAAGATTTTAAACAATGATCCCCTTGTACTTGCAGAGGGAATTCAAGTAGACTGATTTTTCAGATTCTCTGCTCATGCCACCATTAGTGGGGAATTTTTTAACTTCTTTTTTTAAAAAAAGATTTATTTACACAGACAAAAGCTGGGGTGCAGGCCAGAGATGGAGGGGGTGAGAGGATTCACCAGAGACAGAGTGGGGAACAGAACAGGCAGATCTTCTGAAATCCACTGCTGAGGGGAGCAGTGGGGAGACAGGAGAGGTCTGCTGAGCCATGTGGGTAGCTCCCTGGCCGGGGATGGAACTCATGCTGCAGTGGCTGCCATAGCTTCATAGTGCTGAGTCTTAACCCCTTGCACCACCAGGGAGGCCCCAAACTTAATTTCTTGTTGCCAGATCATGAAGCGTTTTCTCTGGCTTCAAAGATTACCATTGGAAAAGTCCCTATTTGCAGTCTGTCCGCAATTCTGAATGGACTTCTAGGACGTTCCCACTGGTGAACATCGACAGCTGAATGGCATGTCTTGTGCACACTCAGACCTGCAGAGTCTGGGTGGGCAGCCCCAGCCCCCGACCTGCAGGCTCCCTTCACCCCCTTGTTTTCCACTGGTTCATTCAACTCAGCTGTTTCAGGTTTAGGTTTGGGTTCTTTGAACATCTTTGATTTTTTTCCTGGTCACTCTTGTTCTTTCTGGGTTTTCACTCCTAGTGTCTGAATCACCGCCCATGGGGAGGATTTGATTCTGGGCTGGCCAGCGTGTGATCGCCGTACGGTGTTACAAAGCTCCTCTCTGCAGCCTTGTTGAATCTCTTTAAACCCAAACTAGTACCTGCTTTTTTTTTGGTGGTTGTTGGTTTTCTGCCATCTCTGACGTTGGAGGGGATGTCTAGCTGACTTAGTCTTCCTCTTTTGTGTGGTACACTTTTAAGTTCGACTGGGGTTAGGTTTTTGCCTGCTTTTCTCATCATTTTTGAAATCTGTTGTGTTGGCTCCAAGTTATTGCACCTTCTTGTTTTGAGAGTGGCCTGTGGGTGTTTGGGCATCCGAAGTCTAGAGCTTTACATATGACGACATGCATTTTCCATGATCTCTCATGGCATAAACCCATAAGAAAAGTTAATACACGGGAAAGTATAGAGTGTTTGGAAAACCACCAACCGAGTTATATATGTTAAATGTCTACCACATAGTACTCAATGCAAGCTGTACATGTGTGCGCGCGCACCCACACCCACCCACCCACCCACACACACACCCACCCACACACACTCCATACTGACTAATCGAGTGATCGCACAGCCACCACATGGGATGCAGTGGCGCCCTTAGAAAAAACAATGATGATGTGGAACAATTTCCAAGAAATATTATAAAGTAAAAAAAAGCGAGGGACAGAGCCGTGGGTACAATAATTTCCAGTTTTATTTATTTTTTATTTTTTTATAAGTAAAATGTGTTTTTTTTTTTTTTAAATAGAGGCATGTTATTTATTTATTTTTTTGTTTGTTTGTTTGTTTTGTTTATACAAGCACTGGGTACAGTCAGAAGCGCGGGAGGGTGAGAGAATTCACCAGAGCCAGAGCGGGGAGCAGAGCAGGCAGAAGGACCGAAGGACACTGCTGAGGGGAGCAGCGGGCGAGACAGGAGAGGTCTGCGCGCCATGTGGGACCCTCCTCCGGTGGCCGGGGAGCAGCCGGGGATCGAACCGGCGCTGCAGAGGCTGGGGGCAGCTTGGCAACCCAGCGCTCTACCGCTGCGCCACCGGGGAGGCCCTAGTTTCCAGTTTTATTTTATTTTATTTTTTTTTTATAGAGGCATGTTTTCTTTCTTTCTTTCTTTGTTTTTGTTTATACATGCACTGGGTACAGTCAGAAGCGCGGGAGGGTGAGAGAATTCACCAGAGCCAGAGCAGAGAGCAGAGCAGGCAGAAGGACCGAAGGACACTGCTGAGGGGAGCAGCGGGCGGCAGGAGAGGTCTGCGCGCCATGTGGGACCCTCCTCCGGTGGCCGGGGAGCAGCCGGGGATCGAACCGGCGCCGCAGAGGCTGTGGGCAGCTTCGCAACCCAGCGCTCAACCGCTGCGCCACCGGGGAGGCCCAGTTTCCAGTTTTAAAGGAAAGTCATGCACACGTATGTATGCAGGTGTGTGTGTGTGTACATGCGTGCGTACTTGGGAGAATGTCTCAAGAAAGTGTGCACTATTACCAGGGTTGTCCTGGGAAGGACAACTGAGGCCCTGGGATTCAGTCCAGGCTGCTTTCTTTTGCTCTTTTGTCCTATTTGCATATCTTACAGTGCTTGGAGTAGCGCTTCAATTGAAGAAAGACTAGTGAAGCAGCAGAGCTCCACTAACAGCTGCTGGTGGCCATGTAGGACCTTGTCACCTCTCTCCCTGCTGAGTCTGGGGCTCTAGCCCCTGATGCTGGAGGACAGGGGTGGCAGCCTAGGGCTGACCCAGCTCACCCAGCAGCCTGCTGGGAGGTGGCTGAGAAGAGCAGAAGCTTGAAGGGCCTCCCGCTTGCAGAGACCGATGTGCTGGAGGCCTCGCACTCAGTGTGTGTGGGGGGGGGCGGTGAGTGGGGAGAGTGGAAGTGGGCCAAATCTGAATTCTCTGTCCAGCGGCAGTGGTTCCGGGGTACAGGGGTGAACATTTCCTGGTTTGGACCTGCCCTGGGTCTGCTATTAAGGACTGAAGGTTTGGAAACCCCATTCATATGTTGGAGCTACTCCCCAGCGTGGTGATGTGTGGAGGTGTTGTGGTGGGGAGGGGATTAGGCCACTGGGTGGGGCGCCCTCATGAATGCGATAAGTGCCCTTAAAAAGGAGACCCCAGGGCCTCTCTGGTGGCACAAGGGATCAAGACACAACCTATGACGCTATCCACAGCCTCTGCTGCACAAGTTTGATCCCTGGCTGGCCAGGGAGCCGACCCACATGGAGCCAGACCTCTCCTGTCTTGCCTGCTGCTCCCCTCAGCAGTGTATTTCAGTCAGTCTGCCTGTTCTGTTCCCCACTCTATCTCTGGCAGATCCTCTCACCACTTGCACCTCTGGCCTGTATCCCAGTTCTTGTATGCATAAATAAATCTTAAAAAAATAAAATAAAAAGGAGATCCCAGAGCTCTCTGGATCCTTCTGAGGTCACAGTGAGAAGCTGGCAGTCTGCACCCCAGAGGGAGTCCCTCACCAAAACCTGACCCTGTGAGCACCCTGATCTTGGACTTTCTGCCTCTGAAACTGCAAGAAACAATGTTGGCTGTTTATATGCCCCCTCAACCATCCACCCAGCCCAACCCCCTCTACGTGTGCTTTTAGAGTAGCCCAAGTAAGACAGCCACTGCCCTGACGCAGAACTCCACAGTCACACACACCACACCCCCAAACTCCCCAGGCTCTCAGGTAAGACCTGCCAGCGCCTGCTTCCCTCAGACCGTGGCCTTGGACGTGAGAAGCCGACATGTGACCTACCTCCTTGTGACGCTGCAGCGTGGTCCTCTTGTCCCCGAGGCCAGTTCGAATTTCCTTCCTGTCTGAAGTGCTCTTCTGGCCCTGGAGACGGCACCCTCTTGCTTCTTTTCTTCCGAAAAGGTCCTTTCCTCCACGCTTAGTAGGGCTCGCTGAGGGGCACAAACTTCAGGCCTTGTATCCTCCCAGAAGGAGCTCCGAGCCTGCCTGGAACCCCAAGCGAGAATGTTAGCGCTTCCCCTGCCTTCCAGCAAGCCCGGCGCCCACCCCAACTCAGCTAAGCTGCCAACCGCTGCTTCGTCAGGGGGCAGTGACCCAGGTTTGTGACCCGCTCTACAGTCAAGGGGGGAGGGCATCTCTGTAGAGCCCGCGGGGCTGCAGGTGGGTGTGAGCCCAGGGATGATGTGTAGGGGGATCTAGGTTTTGGAAATAGAACCTCAGTATCTGGTCAAGCTGCCGCTCAAGTCAGCCCTGCCCTCGCTCTCTCGGTTTCAGATACATGACGTTCTCTCTGTGCCTAAACCAGTGTGGGTCAGGTTTGTGTTGTTCCCCCTTCAGGAGGGGTTCCAACTGAAAAAAATAGGGATGGATACTCATGCTCAGTAAGGTCCTATTTTTCCAGAAGGAAAAGGCCCAGGTGGACAGGTGTGTCTGCATATGTGTGCAGGCACGTGCATGTTTACATGTATATACGTGCCTTAGGTGTGCGTGTACATCTGTGTGTGCTGTGTGTATGTACAGGAGAGAACATGAGTCTGGAATGACATACACAAAAAAGTCAGTGTCTCTCTCTGGGCAAGAGAACTAGAGGTGATTTTCCTTTTCTGTGTTTTCTGTCCTCACCCGGTGAGCGCGCGTTACTGTGTGACAAGGGGATCTATTATTCTCAAGTCACTAGGATCCATCACGTCCAGGGAGTGAGCGGAGCCTCATGTCATCTGCTCTTGCCGTTGTAGGAGGGAGCATGAGCCAAAACTGCACCCTCGATGCCATGGACGAGAAGGTATGGATCCTGCAGCTGGCGGTCTACATCCCCACCTTCCTCCTGGGCCTCGTCCTCAACCCGCTGGCCATCTATAAGTTCAGCTCCTACCTGAGGAAGGGACAGGAGGATTATGCCGCCACCTCCATCTACATGATCAACCTGGCTGTCTTCGACCTTGTGCTGGTGCTGTCACTCCCAGTCAGGGCGTACCTGTCAAAGCCGGGCCACTCCTCGCCCAAAGCGTACTGCACGCTGGTGGAGTGCCTCTACTTCATCAGCATGTACGGGAGCATCTTCACCATCTGCTTCATCAGCGTGGACAGATTCCTGGCCCTCCAGTTCCCGATGTGGGCCAGGAACCTCCGGACCCCCAGGATGATCACAGGGATCTGCTGCATCCTCTGGGTCTCCGTGTTGGCAGGGAGCACCCCCGTCTACAAGTTCCATGAGGAAAAGGACCTAGAGGCCACATGTTTCCGCAACATGAGCAAGAGCACCTGGAGCACCGGGGTCATCATCCCCCTCGAGGTGTTCGGCTTCCTTCTGCCCATGAGCATCGTGGGGTTCTGCTCCTTCAGGACCATTCAGGTCCTGCTCCGCTGTCAGGACGAGCACTGGGCCCAGCACAAGGCCTGCATCCGGACCATCGCGGCCAATCTGGCTGTCTTTGTGGTGTCCTTCCTTCCCGTCCACCTGGGCTTCTTGCTGCAGTTCCTGGTGAGGAATGGCGTCATCGAGCATTGCGGAGCCAAGTGGGCCATCAGCTGCTTCTTGCAGTTGTTCCTGTGTCTCTCCAACACCAACTGCTGCCTGGACATCTTCTGCTACTACTATGTCATCAAAGAAGTCCGCATGGGCATCAAGCTCCGCTGGCCTTCCAGAGTCTTGCTGAGCACCAGGACTCCAGGACCACCAGGGCCTAAGGGAAGAGGCCTCGGGAGCAGGAAGCTCCGCCCCTCGCCCCACTAATGGAGACCGCATCCCATGCCAAGGCTTTCTTTTTTTTTTTTATTTTTTATTAATTTATTTTTTGTATCATTATTCATTTTTAGACAATATTTGCTTCCCCCCCTCCCAGGTGCAGTCCCCGTAGTTTCCTGCCCCAGTGCCCCATGCACCATCACCACAGTCCTCTGGGCTCCGCCCTCCCCACCCTCCGGCCCTCTCCCGCCCCCTCCCAAGGCTTCTGACATGGCGATGACATGTGGCGCATCCCTAGGGTCCTTCCCTCTTGCTGCGCCTCGAGTGCCGTCTCACTCACTGTGCCCCAAAGACCTCTCCCCAGCACCCAGACAGCTCAACACAAACCACCCGCTGTGTGGGGACCTCCGAGGAACCTACAAAGCAGGGCAACGCTTGCTTGCCAGCCCCACAAAGCATGAGGTGTAGACTACAAGAGGATGAGAGCACCTCGACAAGACCGTTTCCCTTGCGCCTGCCTGTCCGTGAGACTAGAAGATTCCGGAAGGGACAAGAGAGGGGCTAGGAAAGAATCAGGAGGGCTGGGACGGGGGAGGGTTTCTGGCAAAGACAGGGCAGTAGACTATAGTGACTCAAACCCCTTTTGAGTTTGGGGGTGCCAGGGTGGAGCAGGCTTGCCTTTTCCAGTCCTTCCTGGAGCTCTGGCGGTCAATGACCTCAGAGATGACAGCAAGTAGGTTGCCTGGGGCACACAGAGAACCCCAAGTTTCCTGTAGGCTTTAGAAAGGGCCAGGTGCCCAGCCAAACCTTCCCACGCCCGCGAGAAGGCTGCAGGACTGGGGGCGCTTTGTGGAAGCAGTGGGGACAGAGCGGAAAGGTGCCAATGACCCCCGAGAGCCACAGGGACACAGGACGGGCCTGGGAAAGGTGCCCGCCAAGGGCTGGGGTGGAGAGCCCCCCCCCCCACGGCGCCTGCCGCATGGAGACGGGGCGCTGGCCCGCGGGAGGGGACGACCCCGGACGAGAGCAGCTGCTCTCCTGACCACGCCGGCGCTGTGACCGGGACTGTTTCCTGAGGACGACGAGAACCAACCAGGCTTGACCGGGGCCAGCCAGAGCACAAGGCAGGGGCGACTTTCTCGCCGCCTGGAGTCCCGGCCAGGCGGCGGGCGGTGGCGGCACTGTCCGGGCAGCTGTCCCTCCGCGGTGGCCGCCAGGAGCCAGGAGTGGAGGAGCCAGCTCCCCGGCACGGGGCTCGAGTCCTGGGCTGGAAACGAAGCTCTTGCGTCCTGGCGGGCGGCGTCTGCGACGACGCAGAGGCGTAGCGGGGAGGGCCGCGTGCCTGTGGGCGACACAGCTGCACCGTGAAGTGAAGGGACTGTCAGGCCAGGTTGCGGGGTGGTCGTGAAGACGAGTGCACGGGACGAGACATGGCAGACTGGATGTGAGCCGGGAGCACTCACCTGCCGGCGGTGGGGGCGGAGGCCGGCCTGCTGTGGTGAACGGAAGGGGCGGCAAGTGTGGGGAAGAAGGGGATTAGGAGAAGGCCCTGACAGAGGAGGCGGGAAGGTTGGGCAATGGCTGTGGGGCTCTGTGAGGGGGGAGTCCTGGGGGGGCAGGCAGGAAGGATGGAGGGCAGAGCTGCTTCCTGCCTCTGAGAGCCCCAATTTGATTGAGGGCCATCAAAGGGCAGGATCCACTTCGCCTACCCCCCTAGGTGGCCAGCTGGTCCTCGGAGGGGCCTCCTTCTGCCCCAGGGCTGCCATCGAGGATTGAATGTTTGCAAACCCCCTTTATATGGGGTGTCTGGAGGGAGGAAGAAAAAGTGGTAACGAAGGGGTAGAAAGGGGCACAGAGGGGCCAGCACAGGGCCCTGGGACCTTAGACTGGGCTTCCAGGAGTCAGTGAGGGGACACCCCTGGCCCTGCTGCCCAAGCCCTGGACACTCCTGCTCACGGCTACACAGTCCGTGGCCACTGGGCAGAGGTGACCGTCGGCCATTCCTGTAAAGCCTGAGGGTGGGTGCAGCAGGACGCGTGGCTGACCGGGTCGGAGCCCGTGGGGTGGCGCTCGGGACCACTCCCCTCCAATTTCTGTTTGCCTGGGGTGGGAACCACCGGTGTGCTGAGGGCTCTTGGTGCTGAACCTGTAACCACCAAGGCGCCGAGGGCCAGACCACTCGTCTTCCAGGTGAGGCCCATGAACGCGGCCTCCTGTCTGGTGGGCACCGCAGCCCCGCCCCAGCCAGATGACCCAGGAGCTGCGTAACTCCAAGGGGGGGGCGTGCAGAGGGATACGGCAGTCTCAGGTTGATGTGGACAGGCAGGTGAGCCTGAGAGACCCCCTGATGGATCCCAATATCTGAGGGGGGCCGAGGGTCCTCTTCTCTCCACATGGGCCCTGTGATCTGAGTCACAGCACCCCACTTACTTGGGTACGAAAGTTCTCTGTGGTAGAACTGGGCTGCTCAGACCCACATGCCCCACGGGTCCTTGCAGCACTGGGCAGGGCCCCGCCCTGCCCCTCAGGCAGTACAGCTTCCACCCAGCTCGAGCTACTTGCAAAGGCCCTGACCCCTCTGCAAGGCCGGGGGGCCAGCCTGAGAGTCCTGCTGCCCTCCTGACCGAAGACACAGAGCCAGTGCCCAGCACCCTCCGCTGCCGGCCCTGCTCGATGCCCCCGAGATCAGAGAGTGACTCTCGCACTTAGATCTGAGTCTTCCCGCACACGAGCCCCGCGGAGCTGGCCAGAGCTCTCAGAGGCCATGAACTGCCAGGTGCTGGCCCCCACAGCCCCTCACTCCTGGCTCCCCACAGTCAGCCACAGCCTGGTGTCCAGCGTTGACTGGATGTCCTCAGTCCTTGACAGATGCTGTGCACTGAACTGTGTCCACCCCTAAAGTCTTAGGCAGAAGCCGTAACTCCAAATGGGGTGGCACTCCGAGGAGGGGCCTTAAGAAGGGCACGAGAAGAAGGTCCAAAGGTGGCGTCCTCGCCATGGGATGAGAGCCTCTTACAGGGCGGGAGGCCAGAGCACGCGCCTCCTCTCTGCGAGGACAGGACAGGGTGGGGCGGGGAAGGCAGCCTTCTGTGGCCTGCGGAGAGCCTCAGCAGACACCAGCCCTGCTGGCACCTTGATCTTGGACTCCAGCCTCCAGGTCCGCCACAAGTCCTGTTGCTAAAGCCACCCACCATGGGATTTTGCTGTGGCGGCCTGAGAAACTAACCCGACAGTCCTCTGCTAACCCAGGAGCCATCTCACTTCTGGGCCACATGCCCAGCCTCCCCCTCCCCCCCCTCCCATGTCACCCCCAGGGAGGATTTGACTTGGAGAAATGCTAGTCCCCAAAGTTCATTATCAAGTTAATTCCTCTTGAGTCCCTCCCTGGGGGCCCTAAAAACCTGAGTGTCATTATATTAATGCTCTGCAGCTGCACAGGTTATTAATGACGTTTGGAATAATAAGATAACAGCTTTGCAACAAGTTGCCACAAATAAACCGTAATTGCGAAGATGCTGGAAATGGCTGAGACCCAGTGGGCAGCTGTAGAGACTAACAGAGGTTAAAACGGATTCTGTACACAGGGCAGCGAGGAGGGAAACTGAGCAGAGCAGCCCGTGGGGGTGAGGACTGCCTGGTGCCCTGCGCAGGACAGAGGCAACCCGGAGGGACCAGTAGGATGTAGACACCCACACCAGACCATCCTCCCCCATGGAGCCCAGTGGGTGGGCCTGGTCTGCAGACTTGCAGGGACAAGAGAAGGCCACTGTGTGAACCCCACTTCAGAGAAGGATGGGGCAGGGGAGGGAGCACCCTGAAGCTGCCATCCCAAAAACCTCGCTCCTCAATGCCAGAGCTGGCTGCTCTAGCGAGTGGGCACCCAACAGGGGGACTCCCAGAGCTGGACGTGGCAGAATCAACAGCCGCTACTGCACCGCAGCTCAGGCCCGAGAATCCCCTCCCCCACTTCGGGCAAGTGCGTGCTCCCACAAAGCACTATAGGCGGGGCCACAGGGCCTTGATCGAGGTGACTCACGTGCCCTTTAGGCTTTTAAGTCTCCTGAGGCAGGATCAGAAGTCTGACTTCAAAGCCTCATGTCAGCTCTGCCTGGTGGAGGGGCCCCAAGTTCACCTTGAGGCCTTGACAGTCTTTGTTCTTGGGGAGACGTGTTCCTTGACCTCCAGGCGCCTGCGAGGGAAGTTGCAGAGTCCTGGGCGCTGCAGTCACGCAAAGGGCACAAAGGGCATGTTGGTCTGAGGTCGCTGCCAGGGGGCTCAGGACGGTTGGGGGCAGTCACCCTGCAGGACACACCTCCCCACCCCCGCCACACACACACATAGGTGAGCCCTGCACTGGCCACGGCTCCCAGAGCTTGCCAGCTGAGGCCACGCAGAGTTTGGGAGACGAGTGCAGGAAACGGAGCAGGGCTGGGCCAAAGCAGATAATCCCAGCATCCAGGCCTCACGGATGGTGCACTGAAGAAAAAACTGTCCCTGATTTGGGGAACAGTACCGCTGACAATGACCCAGTGGCCGTGGTGTGAGGCTCAGGCCAAAGCATTGCTCTGCGAGCAGAAGGTGGGGTTTCCCTGAAGGGACTGGTGGGGGGTGGAGGAGGAAGGCGCCAACGCACTGGTACCAACTGGGGAGACCCCCCCCTCCTGGATGTTGCTGGGCACTCAGCTCTGAGCGCAGCCCTCTCTGGTTCCAGGTCCCACCCCTCTTGGGTGTGCTTTCTTCCAGGTTTCCTAAATTCAGTGCAGACTTAGGGGGCAGCCCAGGCTCGGCTCACTGAGTGGCCTGAGTGTGCGGAGCAGAGTAGAGTGGGGTGAAATGCAAAACCAGGAGGCATGTGGGTGACTTGCAGCCATGTATGGGGGCCGGAGTCCCAGAAACACCTGGGGAGCCAAGCCATCAAGGAAATGGACTGCTTGCATTAATGGAAGATGGGGCGACTGACGATGGCTGGCTCGTTGTTGGGCTATTAAAGGAAATGTGACTCCAGAGCCTGGGACAATTAAGTCCCGTAGATAAAGTTGGGGAGAAAACTGCAGGAATGGAGGGGAGATTTCCTCTCTGGCACTTCCCTGGCTGCAGAATCCTCCCCACACAGCAGGGCTGTGTGAGCCTGCAGGACTCCTGTAACAGCTACCCCAGAGGCGGAGGCTCACTCAAGCAACAAAGTGTAGTTTTTACAGTTCTGGAGGCTGGGAAATCTGAGGCCCAAATGCTTAGGTGTTTGATGGGGTCTCCTTGTGGCTTGCAGACGGTGGTCTTCTTCCTGTGTTCTCACACAGGGGAGAGAGAACAAGCCCTCTGGGGTCTCCTCTGATTAGGGCACTGACCCTGTAGGATCAGGGCCCTGCCTCCATGACCTGCTTTTACCTTAACTACCCCCCAGCGGCCCTATTTTCCATTACAGCCACACTGGGGGTTAGGGCTTTAGCGTCTGGGTTTTCAGGGCCCAGCAGGATTACTCTGTCATCTGGGGTAAAAGCAGCTGTGAGCTACTGTCCTTGCTTCAGTTGAAAGCCTTTGGGCTTTACTGCAGGGTGTTCCAGCTCCACCGTCGGGGGCTCCCCCCTTCCTCTCCCGGGACCCCACATCAGTCCTGGGGGCAGTGGCCCGCCACGGCTGCACATCTGCGGAGGCCTGTCGGTCTCAGCTCACACTGGTCAGGGCGTCCATTCAGAGGTGTCTTCCCCGAGGGCTCCGAGTCAGGCCTGGGCACGAAGCTCATTCCCGAGACCTCCGTGGTAAGGGCTCTTTCTCCTTCAGCAACCCCGCCTGTTCGTGGGCAGCAGTTTTGTCCGGACTCTTCCCGGGAACCGTGCCAGCCCCGTGCTGATGGGCCTGGCCCCTGTGTCCGGTGTCGGCCCGCCAGGCCCGGCGGGCCCTCTGCTGACTTGGCGCAGGAAGAGAGCTCTGGCGCCTTCGGGGGGTTTCCGGGCCTGCAGTGCTGCATGCGGGGACGGGCCGCAGGCCGGGACGCCAACGGAGCCCCCTGGCCCCAGGGTGCGGCCCCCTCTTCCTCCCCTCCGAGGCGCGGGTGTCCACGTCAGCACGCGCGTGCGCCGCGCCCGCCCCGGCACCAGCGCGGGCAACGCCACCCGCACGAACGCAACACGGGGTGCCGGCCACGGGCC